CCTTCTGTTTCTAGTTTGCTAGGAGTTTTTAATAGGAATTGATGGATGTTGAATTTTTTTCAAATTCTTATTCTGTGACTACTGAGTTGATTATATGGTGTTTCATCTTTAGTTTGTCAATATGATGAATTACACTGATTTTTTAATGTGAAATCCAGGCTTGCATTCCTTTTATCAATAAAAATATTTTTTACTCAAGAATTTACTTTTTTGACATTAATATAGCCACACAAGCTTTCTTTAATTAGTGTTAGGAAGTATATCTTTCCATCTTTCAACTTATTGCATCTTTATATCTAAATTAAATTTCTTATAAGCAGCAATAGCTGTGTCTTGCTTTTTTATGCAATCTAATAACCTCTCCTTTAATTAGGTATTTGAATAATTTATATTTAATATGATTATTCATATGATTGGGCTTAAATCTATCTTCTTACCATATTATTGTTTACTTTGTATTTGTCTCATCTGTTTTTTGTTTTATTCTTTCTTTCTTCCAGTCTTCTTCTGGATTTATTGGGTGTTATTTTATTATTCTGTTTTATCCCGTTTGGAATTAACTATAACTCTCTTGTGTTATTGTAGTGGTTGCTTTAGAGTTTATGGCATACATCTTTAACTTATTAGAGCCTACCTTTAAATGCTACTAAGCTACTTCATGTACTGTATAGGAACCTTTCAACAATATGCTTCTATTTCTCCCCACCTGGCATTTGTGCATTTGCTGTAACAATTTATAACATACTATGTATGTTATAAACCCCACAATACATTGTTAGTGTTCTCCCTTTAAAGCATGAATTATCATTTAAGGGGATTTAGATGTTAGGAAAAATGTATTTTACATTTTTCTATTCAATGACCATGCCCAGTGCTCTTTATTTCTTTGTACACCCATATTCCACGTTAGTATCATTTTTATTTGGCCTGAAGGACTTTCTTTAACATTTCCTGCAGAGATAAAGCTAAAAAAAAGACATGTTAAACCTTTCTGAGAAAGCTTTAGCTTTCACATGTCTTTTTGTTTAAAGAACTCTTTATTTGACTTCATTTTTTAATAAAATATATTTCCTGGATATATAATTTCAAACCCTTTTTTTAAAGATACTGCTTCATTATCTTCTGACTTGCATTATTCCTAATGAAAAGTTTGCTATAATTCTTATCTTTTTCCATCTGCATGTAATACATTCTTTTCTCTGGATGTTTAAGATTTTCTCTTTTTCATTGTTTTAGGTATTTATCATTTGTCTTGGAATAGGTTTTATTTGTTTGTTTGTTTATTGCATTTGAAGTTTGTTAAGCTTCTTGAATCTGAGTTTTCATCAAACTTGGAAAATTTTCAGTAATAATTTCTTTAAATGTTTTCTCTGTCCTCTCCTTTCAGAACCTCCAATTACATGTGTGTTATGCTGCTTAAAGTCGTCCCCCAGCTTACTAATGCTCTGTTCAATTTTTTAATTCTTTGTTTTTCTGTGTGTTTGATTTGGTTTGTTTTTATTTCTATGTCTTCAGGTTCACTAATCTTTTCTCTTACAATGTCTAATCTTCAGTTAATGCCATTCAATATATTTTTCATTTCAGATATTGTCGTTTTTATTTTTGAAAATGTTTATGTCTCCATGTCTCCACTTAACATGCTCAATCTTTTCTCCAGGTTCTTGAACATAAGAAATAGTTTTAAAAGCTCTTTGAATGTCCTTGCCATTTTGATTGTTTCAATAGATTGATTTTTTCCTCATTATGGGTTCTATTTTCCTGCTTCTTTGCATACCTGGTAATATTTTGATTGTGTGCCAGCTATCGTAAATTTTATCCTTTCAGGTGCTAATTTTTTTGTATTTCTATAAATATTCTTGAGCTTTATTCCTAGATGCAGTTACTTGGAAACAGTTTGATCCTTTCAGGTCTCGCTTTTAAGCTTTGTCATGTGGGACCAGAAAAGTGTTTGATCCAGGAATAATTATTCCCTACTACTAAGGTAAAATGTTTCTGAGAGCTCCACCTGATGGAACAGGAGTTATTCCTGGGTATTATGGTATCTAATCCTTTCAAGTACTTCTTCCTCTTTGCCTCAGGTCATTTCCTCACAAGCATTTGTTGATAAGCACTCTGCTGTGTACTTAAGGAGAGCCCTCTGCAAATCTCCAGAGCTCTCTTTTCCAGCTTTCTCTCTCTGGTACTTCGCTCTGCCAATTGTAGCAGACTTGGCCTCCCTGAACACCCAGGCTTATCTCCTCTACTTAAGAACACCCAGATCTGTCTGAGTTCCCCTCCCTATGTTGTGGACTGGAGTCTCTCTCAAGGTATAAGCTGGGGCAATTGTAGAGCTCACCTCATTTTTTTGCCATCTCTCTGGGATCACTGTTCTTTGATATCTGATGTTCGATGTCTTGAAAACCATTGTTTTATGTGTTTTCTTTTGTTCTGTTTTAGTTGTTTCATATGGGAGGGTAAATCCAGGCCTTGTCATCCCATCTTGCTGGAAGCAAAGTCCTTGTATGATTAAGTTCTGATAAAAAATAATAATAATAAAGATACAAAGAGGGGCTCTAAAATTGGGAAATTGGTGTGATCCGGGGATTTATTTTGTATGGGGCCCTCTAATTTTACCCTCATGTAGATCTCCTCTCTCCGGCACTTGGGGATGGTAATGCTATACTCACTTTATAGAGGTCCCTGGGTCCTCAGGTAAGTGAGGTCCCAGGACTTTGAGGGAGCTGTCCCAGGTCACAGAACTGACATTTGAATATAGGTCTGTCTAATTACGCTAGCTATCCCGCCTCACCAGCTTACTTGTTCACTCAAGCACCAGAATGAATGAATGAATGGACTGGTAGGATGAAGTGAGTAAATACATACATGAATGTTTAACATGCCTGTGGGTCCTCTCATTTCTCACAAATAATAAAAATGTCAGCACTGGAAGGGAACACCTATAGGTCATCTTGACCCATTTGAGAGGCTCAAGGAAGGCAAGGGATTTACCTGAGGCCACACAGCCAGGGAATCAGCCCTGAGAAAGATCTCCTCTCCCCCTCTTCTTTCTCCAATTGAGGCTAATAAAGCAAGAACAGCATTCTCATAATATGTATGTGTGTGTATATACATTATTTGACTTTAAAGATGCATTTAAATATATCCCTTTCACCTGGGCTTGCAAACAGTCAGGTTTTATTTGAACAAATTAGTCCTGAGTGCATGGTGGAGTGCTGGGTGAGGGAGAGAGGTCAGAGCTAACAAGGAGAAATAAAGCAGGGATGTGCCGTTAGGCTGTGTCCAGGCTTATTTAGAAAACATTCTCAGTCCACTCTCCTCTGCAGCTGGTAACTTAATCTGGAAGGCTCTTCTCCCAGACCCACTCCAGGCTGCTCTCACTCTGTCAAACCTGCTGGGATTGTTTTCTTAGAAAACCAGTTTGAAAGCAAAACCATTAAAAATGACTTGTAGTAAGGGGCTTTTCGGTAAGAGGAACCTAGGGATGAACATGAGTTTGCAGGAAGATAAAGTCCAACCTGGTCAGCAACAGCGTATTAATTGGGACTCTTTCTGCTATAAATTATAAAACCCAACTCAAACTAGGTTAGCGAATATATAATAACTATATCTATGAATACATTTTATGAATATTTACAGTAATATGCTGCATAATGACATTTCAGTCATTGACAGGTCACACACACAACATTCCCATAACAGTGTGATACCGCATTTTTACTGTACCTTTTCTATGTTTAGATACACAAATACTTACCATTGTGTCACAATTGACTATAGTATTCCGTACAGCAACATGCTGTACAGCTCTGTAGCCTGAGAGCAATAGCTCCTAGGTTCCATAAAGCATAGGTATATAGCAGGCTACACCTTCTAGGTTTGTGTAAATGCACTCTGTGATTTTCATACAACGAAATCATGTGTGATGTTCCCACAATGAAATCACCTAATGATGCATTCCTCAGAACATACCCCAACTGTTGAGTGATGCATAACTGTAAATATATGTGTATGTATAAATATATGTGTGTGCGTACATACACACACACACACGCATCTGTTCGTGTAACTGGGAGGTTTACTGGACCACTTTAAGGTACAGTTGAGTCCAGTTGTTTTTGTTCCCTTTCAAAATAACTTCATTATTGCTCTTACAAAATGAATCCATTGTCGTTTAAGAAAAAAAAAAAGTAATATATTAAAAAGTGAGAAAAAAAAATAAAAATCACCCGAAACCTGTCATCCAAAAATAATCATACTTTTTCCTAAGCTTTTCCAAACATCCTTAAGATTGATAGGTATGTAAATAACGTGAATTCTAATGTTTGTCTTCTTCTCTGATTCTAAGGTCAATAAACACTCATGGTCAAACATTTGGGAAAGAGAGAGAAGTATAGAGTAAAAATAATCAATCAGATTTCAACCAACAAAGAGGTCATCTCTGTTAACATTATAGGATTTGCTTTTTAACTTTTCACCCTCTGTGTGTGTGTTTCATCTGTACTGTACGTCATACATCATGTATGTATATTCATTCAAAAGAAGGTAAAGTTAACATTGGATCATTTAAGAATCCCAGGCAGAAGACAACAGGTTGAGCCCTTCAAAGTTACCTAATATTTACCACTGGGCAACCAGTTTGTCTTTCTCAATTAAAAGAAAAAAAAGTCCAGTGAAATCAGGTCATTCAATGTCAGTTTTAAATATTTAGAAAATATTTTCTCAGGTTTCTGACAGGAAAAGTAACTCTCATGCTGCTCTCTGAAGCTCTGCTTTTGTGGACAAAGAATAGGCCATAGGGTTGCATCCTTTTCTCCTTACCTTCCACCTAACGCCCCCCAGCCCCCAACCCTTGTGCAAATGGTTCCACCATTGCTGGCAAGTGCTAGGACAGAATGGTTGTGCTTAAGTGCCATCAGCGTGGTCCTGTACCAGTGAGTTAGGGATTAAGTAGGAGTTTTGACTGCTCCCCACAAACCCCCAACCTGTCTGCTCACTTACAGGAACAAGCTGGAAAACCTCATTGAGCCTGGGCTTCAGTATTGATACCGTTATAGAAATCGTGAGTCTCCACTGTGTTTTCTTTGAAAGGTATACAAATATATCATGCTTTTGTGGGGTCTTGGAGACAATCTTCTTGTATTTGGGCAAATTTGGCTTGGCAGTGAAGCCGGAGGTACAGCCAGGAAAACCTTGCACTACTCTTTTAAAGACTGTTGTTAAGAGGAAATTGTTTAAGAATTTTACACACCACTGCTTCCCACTGGGCGTGGAAGAGCTGCTTCTGGGGCATATGCAGACACAGCTTTAAATAGCCTTGACCCGTAGAATGAAGTAGACCTTCCATAAATCCCTTTCAATCTGATTATACGGGAAGATTTCACTTGTTATTACTCTGTTTTTAACACTTCTCTAGCGCTTGCTAATCTCCCTTTTTAAGCAGCAAATAGTCTTCGAACACAAAACTTCCAGTGAGAAGTGGTTATATGGCCAGCAACATGTAACAGAATATTATTACTGTATTCCACCCACTCTAAGATGCCATGATTGTTAAAATGCACCATTATTTTTGCATACCTCTAAGACAGAAAACTAATCTTCCAATTAGTTGTAAAAGACCATTTGTTGTAAGTTACATTTTAATTCCCAAGTTGCTAAAGTATAAAAAAAAAAAGAAACAGACAAAATCCTGCATGTCCTGGTAATGGCAAAATTTAATATTCTCACTGCTTTTCTATTTATGATTGCCTTCTATTTATGGCTGATGATGAGGGTTTTGCAGTTACAGGTGTTACATAAATTATCTTTTGAAATAAATGTGTTTTTAAAAATCAAGTGGATTGATTTAAAGAAATACCTCAATTATAACACTATTGATACAGATACTGCAAGCTGGTTTATGAACAACTAAAGATTGTAGAATCTCACTACAAGTGATTTGGCAAGGCTGGTACTATGTCATCTCCAGGATTTTCTTAATACTGAGTGAGAATCTGTTATGACTGGAGACATCTTGTTACCAGCAGAAGAGATCCAGGTTACCCCAAGCTACTGCCATGTATCCATGTGAATCTGCAGCAACTTCAGCCCTTACCTCCTCAGAAAGAAGAATTTGATTGAGGGGCATAAAGCAGAAAAAGAGACTGGGGCAAGTTCCAGAGCAGGAGTGGAAGGTTATTAAAAAGCCTTTAGAACAGGAAAGAAAGGAAAGAACCCTTGGAAGAGATCCAAGTGGGCATCTGAAGGTCTAAGAGAGAGAAAAAAGGAGGTCATTTAGTCTTGATCTTAGGGCTTTAGAGGCTCACCTATTTCCCATGATTGTTCCCTTAGAGTGAGCTTTCTGCATGCTCAGTGTTTTATTTACCCTTGGGAATTGAGCATGTGCAGTGTATTTAGAGAGTTACAGGCATGCCCATCCAAGGCTTTCATCCTTTTTCTGGTGGTATACCCAGAAGATCATACTTTGCCATTTTTGTCTCTTAATGTGTATGCCCAAGAAGTTGATTCTCCCTGGGGCCTGGCTTTAATTAACACTTTAGTGTTAATAGGTGTGGACCATCATGAACTAGCCTCTCCCTGGTGCCAGCTGCCAGTTTATCACTTTTAGAGAAGCAATGCAGTAATTGCTGAGCCATCACCACAAATTTCTAGTGGGTCGGGGAGAGAGCCCTGTCTTGCCCGGCTCATTCCTAACTACCTGTAACATAGAGAGAGTTTCCCCCTTCTTCTCTTCTGGGACCAAATTCTAAGCCACATTCTTTACTACATTGATCAGATGGAATCTCTTGCTGGATTCAAACCAAGACGTGGTTTATGTGCAAGTCCTTTCTTACCATCATTTAGCCATTCTTGATATATTTTGATATATTTGTTGTCTGTAGACCAACCTCAAGTAATTTTTTTCTAGAAGAGTATATGAAGATATGCTTTTCAAAATGAAAAATACATAAGAATGTTTTCTTCTGCCACATCCATACAATACAAACAGTTTGGCTGGGTATAAAATTATTGGATCTCATCTTTTATTCTTTTAAGGTGCCCTTTTGGGGGCATTTATTATTGCAGAGGAGAAATCTTAGTCTTTTGAAGTTAAATTATTATTTTAATGTTTAATTTTTTCTGTCTAAATCCTTAGAAGATTTTTCATTTACCTTTGGAATTCAAAGCCAGAATTAATATAGTCATGGTCATTTTTTTTTCATTATTTTGTTCATAACATGGGATGCTTTTCAAGACACACTATAAAGGTTTCCTTAACTCTGGAACTTTTTACATTGTGTCTTTGATTAATACTGGTGCTATAACGCCTGACTGTCATGATGGTTATTATAATTAATTGATATTGCTCTCATAAAACAATTAGGGTGATGCCTGGCATCCGCTGAGTGCTCAACAATTTTAATTATCTTTTCTGTCTCCTTTACAGTTGTTTTCTGAGGTATTTGGGCTTCTTACTTGGATAAAGCTCATATTTTTTATAAATTGGTGTTGCCTGTCATTATTTTCATTAGATCCCTAGAAATAGGTCCAAGGCAGCACACTTTATGACCCTGTGAAACATAGGATACAACTCCACCTTGGTGAAAGAGTGGAGTTCTCACCCTAATCTCTAAGAAGGCACCAGACTTTTGATCTCATACAAGTACAAACCAAGAACAGACTCTAATGAAACACTTTGAGTATGCATTCCAAACTTTCAGTGGGTAAAAAAGCATAAAAATTTATCAACTCATAAGTGCAATTAGGCTGGCTAAGCAAATGTAAACAGGATAAAAGAGTATCTCTTAAAAGAGGAAGAATTTTTCTCAAGCAGTTATTAAAGATCTATCTACAAATTGCTTATATGTTAATTATAAATCAAGTACTCTAGAAACACCCATTGATAAATGATTTTCATGCAAATTATAAATTGCTTAAGAGAGCTCATTCACAAAATGGTCTGTGCACTAATTACAAATCAAGAAACTTAAACATACACATATACAAATGGTATATGTGCTAATTACAAAAGGCATTTTAGAGATTATCATTTACAAATTAAATGTGTGCTCATTGCCCACTAAATACTTTAGACAATTCTATGTACCAATCATTTTCATGCTAATTACACAGCAAATAATCTGAACTGTACACAGTGTTTGCAAATAATCCATGTGCTAATTACACAACAAGCACTTTAAAAACACCAACGTAAAAATGATTTGTGTGTTAATGACATAACAAACACCCTAGAAACTCCCAAATACAAATGATTTATATCTAATTACACATCAGACACTTCAGGAACACCCATGTGCAAATGATTTATGTGCTAATTACACCAACACTTAATTTCAAAAATGTCTAACAACAAATTATTTGTATGCTAATCACAAATCCAAACACTTACAATTGATTTATGACCTAATGATTAGCTGTTCTTATTTAGTTTCCTTTAAGGACCCACCATCTCAACAGATTGACAGCTTTCTTCTAATTGGTACTTATTATGAATATAAATAAAATGTCTGAGTCCATATCGCAAAGTTTTGGGATCTTTATTCTCCCTTCCCCAATCCTGTCCAATTGTTGCAGTCTGACTACATTTTGGGGTACAGTGAATTGAAGGATTTATCTCTTAGAGCAGGCTGAGGAGTATTAGCTAGGGTAAGAATGTTCTCTTCCTTTTGTCTGTTTCATTGGAACCATCAAATTAAATTAATGAATGAAGTATAGGTGCTTATTAGCCACTCAGTCTATATACTAATCTTTCATGTTCAAAGAGCTATTACTGTCCTCAAATGTATTTATGCAAAAATTTTGTCCATAATGGCCACTACTGCTTCCTTATGCCCTCTCTAGCATGTGATACAAAAAAAAATTTCCATATTCATTATCTTACTGGATTTGCTTCTTATAAAGGAGGAAGGACTCAAAAACAGAGGTTAAAAGTTCCCGTTTTGCAGATGGGAAAACTGAGGCTCAGCATAGCAAAGCAGTATTTCTCCTGGCAGACCTGACTCCAAAGTCAGCCAAACTTCACAGCTAATGGTTTTTCTTCCACCTAGTCTCCAGTTGTCATTCCTCCACAAGAAAACCTTCCATGGCCATTGTCCCAGAAGTCTCTAGAACCAAAACACCAACACTGCGCATAGGATAGATCCACTCTCTCCTGCTACTGCATCCCATCCTCTCTCCTCCAGGCTCTCTTGGATCCCTGGCCTCTCCCTCCACACCATGCTGGCATTTCAACAAGACTGGGGGCCCCAGCACGCTTCTCACCTCTTTAAGAGTGAAAATGTATATCCCAGAGTTTGTGGCTTAATTGGCTGATTAATAACAGAAAACCTAATTGAATGCTCCCAGCTCGTATGTACGATGTCTTAATGTTAGAGCCTTGGGAATAAACACACAGCAGGGAAGTCTGAACTGCAGCACAAGCACTAGCACTTTCAATTTAAAAGTCAATCTCATTATACAAGAAGCTGTTCCCTTTATCCCCCTGGAAAAGCTCACACTCTCAAACCAGATTCCCCTTGTACCAGCATCCTCTACTCCATCCTGTCTCTGAGTGATGCAAATATTAGGATGGGTCCCCTTTCTCCTTCTCTCCCCTTCCCCTCTCCCTCCCTCTCTCTCCATCTCTCTGTCTCTGTCTCTCTCTCTCTCTCTCTCTTTCTATTTGTTCTCCCTGCTGCATATCTGAGCATCTCAGTAAATATTCATGAAATGCCACTGTGAGGTCTCTGAAGAGCACAAACATGGACCTTCAGAGGTGACGTGCAATTTGGCATCGCCAGCACCCAAGGGTGAGGGAGGCAGTGAGGTGCCTCCAAATCAAGCCTCATGTTACATCCTGATCCGTTCAGCTTTCTCCTTCTGGCAGCCTGATTAGAAGTCTTAGGGTGCTCAGAAAGCTGAACTAGATATTCTTGGCTGGCTTAGAGTGACCAGGGAAGAGTCAGTAAGGGCTCCCAGACCTTAGGCTCCTCCTGGTCAATCACAGCATCTGAGGCAGGGCTGAAGTTCCTGGGCAACTTAATTAATCAGCAAAGGGCTGCCATAACAAAGTAGCACAGACTGAGTGCCTACTTTCTAAACAACAGTAATTTATTTTCTCCCTGGTCTGCAGGCTGGAAGTCCCAGTTCAAGGTGTAGCAGGGCTGTTTACTCCTGCGTCCTCTCTCCTTGGCTCAAAGATGATACCTTTACACTGTGTCCTCAACAAGGTCTTCCCTCTGTGCACACAGAGTGTCTTTCTCCGTATCCAAGTTTCCTCTTAAAAGGACACAAATCAGATTGGAATAGGACCCCATCCTAAGGACTTCATTTTAACTTAATCATCTCTTTATTTATTATTATTATTATTACTGTTTAGAGACAGGGTTCCACTCTGTCATACAGGCTGGAGTGCAGTGGTGCAATCATGGCTTACTGCAGCTTCAACCTCCTGGGCTCAAGCCATCCTCCTGCCTCGGACTCCCAAGTAGCTGGGACTACAGGTATACACCACCACGCCTGGCTAGTTTTTTAAATTTTTTGTAGAGATGGGGTCTCTCTATGTTGCCCAGGCTGGTCTTGAGCTCCTGGGCTCAAGCGATCCCCCCACTTCAGCCTCTCAAAGTGCTAGGATTTTAGGCATGAGCCACTGCACCCTGCTTTAATCACCCTTTCTTTAAAGTTTTATTTTAGGTTTAGGAGTACATACGCAGGTTTGTTATATAGGTAAATTGCATGTCGTGGGGTTTGGTGTGCAGATTATGTTATCACATAGGTAATAAGCATAGTACTGAATAGGTAGCTTCTCCATCCTCTCCCTTCTCCCACCTGCCACTCTCAAATACACATGTGGTCATGTTAATCACCTCTTTAAAGGCCCTCCCTCCAAATACAGTTGACTTCGGAGGTACTGAGGGTTAGGGTTTCAACATATAAATTTGGTTGGTGAGTGGAGGGAAGACACAATACAGACTATAACAGCATGTCTTTCTGCTTGGATATCTCTAAACCTCCTCAACCTCAACATGTCCAAATGAATCCTCATGACCTTGAACCTCCACCCAGGCCCCCGATGCCCTTGAGACTTTCCCATCCAGCAGAATGTCACCAACACAAGCTGGAGACCTTTTGATTTATCCTGTCCACTCACCCCCCTTCCCAATTCATCTCCAGCTTCCCCCATTGACCTGACTCCCCAGATGTCACATCCCCAGCCCAAATTCCCATCATCTCTTTCCTGACCCTCCACTCCAACCCCCAGGTGTCTTTCTGCATCCAGCTCTGCACATCTGCTGCCTATTCTGCAGAGTGGCAGAAGTATCTTCTTCAAGGCACATCTGATTATGTGCCCTCACACCTGCTCAGCTTCCTGCATCTTCTCTGACCATCTCTTAAATGCTGACACTCTTAGAATTCAGTCCCATCCATCTCTCTTCTCTCCACATCATCTTCCTGAACACTCTCATCCACTTCTACAGCTTCAGTTACCTGCTACAACTTTGCATTAGTCTGTTTTCATGCTGCTGATAAAGACATACCCAAGACTAGGTAATTTATTTTTTCTTTAAAAAAAAATAAAAGAGGTTTAAGGCAATGGACTCACAGTTCCACGTGTCTGGGGAGGCCTCACAATCATGGCAGATGGTGAAAGGCACACCTTACATGGCAGAAGACAAGAGATAATGAGAACCAAGAGAAAGGGGTTTCCCCTTATAAAACTGTCAGATCTCATGAGACTTATTCGCTACAATGAATACGAGTATGGGGTACTGCCACCATGATTCAATTATCTCCTACTGGATCCCTCCCACAACACATGGGAATTATGGGAGCCATAATTCAAGATAAGATTTGGGTGGGAGCAGGACAAAGTGACTCACACCTGTAATCCCAGCACTTTGGGAGGCCAAGGTGGGTGGATCACCTGAGGTTAAGAGTTTGAGACCAGCCTGGCCAACATGGCAAAACCCCATTGCTACTACTAAAAATACAAAAATTAGCCAGGCGTGGTGGTGCACACCTGTAATCCCAGCTACTCAGGAGGCTGAGACAAGAGAATCGCTCGAACCTGGGAGGCAGAGGTTGCAGTGAGTCGAGGTTGTGCCACTCCATTTCAGCCTAGGTGACAGAGCAAGACTCCATCTCAAAAAAAATAAACATAAAAAAGATTTTGGTGGGGACACAGCCAAACCATATCAAACCTACAGGCCACTCTTGATGGCTTCCAGATAATTCCCCAAACCCAGACCTCTCAACCAGCTTTCAAACCCAAGGGTCTTAAATGCTTTAATCCGTTATCACTAAGCAAAATAACAGCCTTGTAAATATCTGTAATGAGATATTTGGTGAAGCAGAGCTTGTAATTATTATTTTGTTTTCATTGAAATATTATTTTAATAAATTAGTTTACTTTCACTAAAAGAACCCACCAGCTCCTTCTCTAGGGAGACACGGTAAATCACCCTGTGGTAAACTTTTGGATTGTGAAAGAGCCACATAAGTGGTGTCTCCAGTTGAGGTGAAAACCCATTCCTTGAAGGAAAGGTATAATAGAACCATTGACACATGACTGCCACTCTCCCCTTCAAGATTTCTCAATGGGCAAGGATAAATTTACATTGCGGATGGAAAAGAAGCCTCCTGGGAGGAAAAAGATTGAGGCCTGAACTCACTTTGTTGCAAAATTCAACATTTGTAGAACTTCTTTGCAGGGCTAGGGAGGTCCCAGATGAAGGAAATAGGCAGCAGGTTGAGGGGGTGGACATCTAAAGCCCTACAGTGGAGATCATTGTGAAGGAATGGGGAGTCTGGTCTAGAGATGCAGCCCCGTAATAACATCTGGGTGCTTGGGGAAAAGGACCATAGCTGAAATGGACACACCATCTAGTCACAGCCCCCTAATTTGATCGTTTCTAAAACACGACCACCAACCTATAGCGTTCAGTGACTGTGGTTGACTGTGACCTCTAAAAGACTACCTGAGACCCTGAGCATGGAGCAGTTCTGTAATCTGGGCAGGAATCTGGAAGAGCATCCTTAAAACTTGGGAAACAGGTGCACCAGACTGCACCAGACAAGTTCCCAACAGTGACACATTGTGGAGACTGAAGACTAGATAGTGATAATTTATGAATGAAACTCTGGTTTATTCTCTACCTATCTTCAGAAGCAAGACTGACCTCCTTGGACCAGACTTTCTGGACAATTTGCTGGCAGAGGAAGAGACAACAAGAGGAAAAAAGTGGACTTCCTGGTAATTTAGGGGTTTGATTAACAAATTAGAATATTTAAAAGAGACTTTATTTTCACTAAACAAGATAGCTAAATGGTAAATAAGCCTATTCAACATTATTAGTCATCAAAGAAATTCAAGTTAAAACTACAATGACATGTCACCACACACCCTTGAAAATGGCTAAAATAAGTACTGATATTATCAAGCATTGGGGAAGATGTGGAGCAACTAGAACTCTCATACTCAATTTGGGAGTGCAAATTGGTTCAATCTCTTTGGAAAACTGTTTAGCAGTAGCTACAAAAGCTGAAAGCATAGATTGTGACCCAGTAATTTCATTTCTGGGTATTACTACACATATATACACAGGAATGTTTACGTATTTCCACCAAAGTGCCTACACAAGAATATTCATAGCAGCACTATGTGTAATAGCCTGAAACTAGAAACTACCTAAATGCCCATCAACAGGTTAAAAAAAGAAAAAGACAAACTGTGGTATGTTTCTATAATGCATTGTTACTCAGAAAGAATAAGGATGAGGAGAATGTAACAACATGAAAGAATCTCACTGTCCTAATATTGAGCACAAGAAACCAGAAATACATACAGAAAAGTATACCATACTGATTGTTCCATTTATGTGAAATTCAAGAGCAGAGCTGGCTAAACTAATCTATGATGACAGAAGTCAGAATGTGATTACTTTTAGAAGAAGGAGCATTAACCAAAATGGGACATAAAGGAGACTGTTGAGATACCTGAAATATTCTTGTCATAATCTGGGTAGTGTTGTATGAGTATAGATACGTATTAAATTGTGTTGCCCCACACCTTCAAATTCATATGTTGAAGCTCTCTTCCCCAGTATGGTTATGTTTAAAAACAGGACCTTTAGAAGGGAATTAAGGTTAAATGAGACTATAGATCCCTAATCCCATAAGATTAGCATCCTTATAAAAAGAAACAGCAGAGTTTGTGCACTCACTCTGTCTTTCAATCTCTGTCTCTCTGTCTGTCTCCCTCCCTCTCTTTCTCTCCCTCCTACTCTCTGCATGCATAGCACAAGGAAAGACCATGTGAACACACAGGAAGAATGTGGTGCTCTGCAAGTCAGAAACAGACCCTTCATCACCAAATCAGCCAGCACCCTGATCTAGGATTTCTGGCCTCCAAAATGGTGAGAAAATACATTTCTGTCGTTTAAGCCATGGAGCCTGTTGTATTTCATTATGGTAGCCTGAACAGAATGACAGGTATATACAAATGCAAATTCTATTGAGAAATTTGTATCTTTTCCCTGTTGAAGTAAGTTATACCTCAATTGAAGAATAAATAAATGAGAAAGAAGGAGCGGCACAACCTTGTTTGTACTCCCAAGCTGGTGAGTGGGTGATGTAGGTTGCCTCTCACTGTGCCCTCTTGGCTGATGAGAAAAGTGCAACTTTGAGTAGTGAAGTGACATGTTGTTATGGCAGCAGAACTAGGCACATAATCCAGTTCAGTTTGGTGAACAATCACAATGTGTGCCCTTTGCAAGCCCCAGGGTGGGCATTGCTGTCAGGAGTGGCCTCACAGGAAGTGCCCAGGCCTTGAAGGTAAATAAACATTTACAACATTGTGTGGTCCACACTGCAATGGGCTTCACAGAGGTCACAAGAGCACTGAAGGGCCACCTAGCATAGCCCAGGATGTGGGAGTGGAAACTTCAGGGGTGCCAGACAAATCCTGCACTTCCCCTTCTCCCAAAGTCAGTCCTGGAGCTCCATGTCCTGCTCCTTAAAGTGTGGTCCACAGACCAACAGCCTCTCTGTCATCTGGATGCTGGCTGAAGATGTAGAATTGTGGCTCCACCCAGGCCTACTGCATCAGGATCTGCTTTTTACCAAGATCCCCTGGGAAAGCACACCCGCACTGGCAAAGTGCTGGTCTGTTTATTTCAGAAGGACACTGGGAGCCATGGACAGCTCTAAACACGACGTGGCATCCTCTCAAAGAGCTGAATCCCCAACGCTCTCTATCCTGTCTGCAGACACTTCTGAGCACCAGGACATCCACTCAGTTCCCACTGACCCAGGTAACTAGGTCCCAGGAGATTCTGTGTCTACACTTACCCACCCAACAGAGCAAGTCTAGCCCTAGCAGGTGTGCAAGCCAGCGATCTGGCAATTAGAGCCACTGATTGGAAAATGGGCTGCTTACCTGCAACAAAGGAGGGCTTCTCTTTTCTGAAGCCTTAGACAAAGCAGGCTTCCAGGGCGGCTAATTACCTGATAGGTAGCAAAGCTATCACCTACTGGGCCTTTTAGCTTAGTTAATAAAGCAATTTTTCCAGTCTTTTGTCCTTCTCTTGTTGTGATTTCTTGGCCTACACACGTTTTACAAAATGAGAAAGTTAAGCAAGCGCTGCCTAATCCAGAGTTCAGCATTCGGGGCCCAGATTCCGGCCAGGCCAGCAGCAAAGCTACTGTAGAACCAGGCATCTAGGAAAAGATGTGGGTCCCTGCTCCTGGGTTTGTAGACCCAACAGAGTATATGAACGATGGCACAATTTGCAGGTTATCCTATGAAATAATTTAAATAAGATCATCTATATGGGGATTAAATGTAAGCTCTATTTAAGGATAGTGGTTATTTTCTTAGACCAGGTCATTGAAATTTCATGTGAACACTTTCACATCAAAATGCACACACTGTAACAACGAAGATGTCCAATCATTCCAGTTTGCCATAAGCAAGATCCCGGGCCCTGTCCCCATGGAGCTGAGGGTCTAATGGTGAGGAAAGAAAAGAAACAAGTACGCAAATAAAATAGTTTCCCATGATAAGTGATATGTTGGAAACAAAGAAAGAAGGGCCACAGCGTGGCCCAGGAAGGCTCTCCAAGGCCTGACAGATGTCAAGTGTCCACCCATTTGAAGAGATGTGTATGGGGGTTTGAGAGAGAGAAAAGTGGGGGTTCCAAGAAGATGCAGCAGGAAGTGCAAATGTCCTGAGACAGGGCAGAGGTTGATGTGTGAGATGTCAGAAGAAACCTGGCATGGTTAGACTGTGTGTGTTTGTGTGTGTGTGTGTGTGTACACAAATGCACATTTGTATGCCTCTGCTGGGGGCAGTGAGAGGAGATGGGGTCAAGGTTGAAGTAGTGAGCAAAGTCCAGACCATGCAGAACTCAGACCATGGTAGGAGTTTGAATTTTACTCTGAGTATAATAGAAAGCATTGAAGTGTTGGCCCTACCATTCCTTTCCCTAATTTCTCAAGTCAAATTTATTCCTTATTACTTGTCAGTCATCCTCCTTTTGAAACAGATTCATTTTAGGTCTGTATATCTGTCACTAAGTGCATCTATAGCTGCTTTGTGTAATTTTTTTTAATTAATAAACTTTATTGTGTTTTAGGATCACAACAAAATTGAATGGAACAAACAGAGAGCTCCCATATGTCCCCTGTCCCCCACACGTGCACAACCTCCCTCACTGTTGAAATCCCCCACCACAGTGGTACATTTCCTATAATAAATGAACCTACATTGACACATCATTATCATCCAATGTCCATAGTTTACATTAGGGTTCTCTCTTGGTGTCGGACATTCTATGGATTTGTACAAATGTATAATGACATGTACCCACACCTGTAGTATTACACACAATGGTTTCACTGCCCTAAAAAATCTTCTGTGCTCCACCTATTCATCCCTCCCTAAGCCTACCCCATAGAGACCACTAATATTTTTAACTATCTCTACAGGTTTGCCTCTTACAGACTGTCATATATTCAGAAACATACAGTATGTAGGCTTTTCAGATTGGCTTCTTTCATTTTGTAATATGTATTCAAGTTTCTTTCATGTCTTCTTATGGCTTAATAGCTCATTTCTTTTCAGCGCTGAATAATATTTCATGGTCTGAATGTACCACCGTTTACTCATTCACCTACTGAAGGACATCTCAGCTGCTTTCACATTTTGCCAATTCTGAATAAAGCTTCTATAAATATCCATGTACAAGTTTTGTGTGAAAAGTTTCTACTCCCTCAGGTAAATGCCAAGGAGTTTAATTGGTGGATTGTAGGATAAAAGTATGTTTTGTTTTGTAAGAAACAGCCAAACTGTCTTCCAAAGTGGCTGTATCATTTGCCTTTCCATCAGCAATGAATGAGAGTTCCTGTTGCTCCATATATCCTCACCAGCCTTTGGTATTGTCAGTGTTTTGGATTTGAGTCATTCTAATAGGTCTGTAGTAGTATTTCATTGTTGTTTTAATTTGCATTTCCCTGATGACATACTATGCGGAACATCTTTTCCTAGCTTATTTCCCATCTATACCTTCTTTGATGAGGTGTCTCTAAAGGTCTTCGGGCCACTTTTTAATAGGGTTGTTTGTTGTCTTATTGTCGAGTTTTAAGAGTCCTGTGTATATTTTGGATGACAATCCTTTATCACCTATGCGTCTTGCAAATATTTTCTCTAAGCTCTCTTAACATTGTTTCTTGCAGGCAGAAAATTTTAGTTTTAATGAAATGCCGCTTATCAATTATTTCTTTCACGGATTGTGCCCTTGGTGTTGTACTTAAAAAGTCATCACCAAACCCAAGGTCATCTAGATTTTCTCCTGTGTTATCTCTAGGAGTTTTATAGTTTTGTGTTTTACATTTAGGTCTGTGATCTATCTTGAGTGAAGGGTAAAAGATTTGCACGTAGATTGATTTTTTTTTTTTTTTTTTTTTTTTGCATGTGGATATCTTGTTGTTCCAACACCATTTATTGAAAAGAGTATATTTGCTCCATTGCAATGCCTTTGCTCATTTTGTAAAGATCAGCTAACTATATTTCCATGAGTCTACTTCTGGGCTCTCTGTTCGCTTCCATTGATCTAGTTTTTTTCTTTCACCAATACCATACTGCCTTGATCACTGTAGCTTAACAGTAAGTCTTAAAAGTCAGATAGTGTCAGTTCTGTTTGTTCACCTTCAGTATTGAGTTGGTTATTCTGGGTCTTTTGCCTCTTCATATACATTTTGGTTTTGTTGTTGTCTTTTCTTTTTCTTTTTGTAGAGACAAGTTCTTGCCATGTTGTTCCTGAGCTGGTCTCAAACTCCTGGCCTCAAGCATTTTCCTATCTCAGCCTCCCAAAGTGCTGGAATTACAGATGTGAGCCACTGTGCTCACCAGTTTATACAAACTTCATAATCAGTTTTTCAATATCCACAAAATAACTGTCTGGGATTTGATTGGGTATTACATTGAATCTTGATTGAGCAACTTGGGAAGAACTGACATCTTAACAATATTGGGTCTTCCTATCCATAAACTTGGAATGTCTTCCCATTTATTACGTTATTATTTAATATCTTTCATCAGAGTTTTGTGGTTTTCCTCATATAGATTTTGTACATTTTTTATATTTATACCTAAAAGTTTTATTTTAAATGGAAATAAAATGTTTTTTATTTTAAATTTCATTTTTTCATTGCTGGCATTTAGAAAAGTGACTGACTTTTGTACATTAACCTTGTATCTTGTAACCTTGCTATAATTAGTTCCAGGCATTCTTTCGTTGATTCTTTCACATTTTGTACATAGACAAGTCATGTCATCTATGAAGAAAGACAGTTTCATTTCTTTCTTCCCAATCTGTATGCCTTTTATTTTACTTTCTAGTCTTACTGCGTTAGCCAGGATGTATATTGAAAAGGAGTGTTATGAGGGGCTATCCTTGCCTTGTTCCTGATCCTAGTGGGAAAGCTTTGAGTTTCTTATTATTAATCGTGAGGTTAGCTGTAGGTTTTTTGTAGGTGTTCTTTATCAAGTTAAGGAAGTTCCCCTCTTTTCCTAGTTTACTGAGCGATTTTATTATGAACGGGTATTGAACGCTGTCAAATGCATTTTCTGCATCTATTGATAATGTAATTTTTTTCTTCACCCTGTTGATGTAATGGATTACACTGATTTTTGAATGTTAAACCAGTGCCACATATATAGAATAGATCTCACTTAGCTGTGGTATATAATTTTGATATGTTGTTGAATTCCATTTTCTAATATTTTGTTGAGAATTTTTACATCTACATTCATGAGAGATATTGGTTTATAGTTTTCTTGTAATACTTTTTCTGGTTTTGGTTTTAGGGTAATACTGGCCTTATAGAGTGAGTTAAGAAGTATTTACTCTGCTTCTACCTTGTAAAAGAGATTGTAGAGAATTGGCATAATTTCATCCTTAAACGTTTGTTAGAATTCACCAATAAATGTATCTGGGCCTAGTGCTTTCTGTTTTGGAAGGTAATTACTTATTTATCTAATTTCTTTAATAGATATGGGCCTATTCAGATAGTCTACTTCCTCTTGTGTGAGTTTTGAAAGATTGTGTCTTTCAAGGTATTGGTCTCTTTCATCTAGATTATCAAATCTGTGGGCATAGACTTGTTCATAATATTTCTTTGTTATCATTTCCATGTCCATGAAATGTATAATGATGTTCTTTCCTTCATTTCTGATATTAGTAATTTGTGTCTTCTTTCTTTTTCTTAGGCCAGGTGGAGACTTATCAATTTTATTAATCTTTTCAAAGAACCAGCTCTCTGTTTCATTGATTTTCTCAATTGATTTCCTGCTTTCAATTTTATTACTTTCAGCTCCAGTTTTTATTATTTCTTTTCTTCTGTTTGCTTTAGATTAGATTTTCTCCTTTTTTTCTAGTTTCCAAAAGTAGAAATTTAGATTATTGATTTTCAATCTTATTTTTAAAACATGGATCAGTGCTATAAATTTCCCTCTAAGCATTGCTTTCACTGCATCCCACAAATTTCGACAAGATGTATTTTCATTTTCATTTATTTCAAAATATTTCTTAACTTCTCTTAAGATTTATTCTGTGATCCAATGCTATTTTAGAAGTACGTTGTTTAATCTTCAGGTATTTGGGGATTTTGCAGCTATCTTTCTGTTATTTATTCCTAATCGTGCTCTGAGAGCAGACATTGTATGATTTCTACTGTTTAAATTTGTTAAGGCATATTTTATAGCTCAGAATGTGGTCTATCTTGGTGAATGTTACATATGAGTTTGAGAAGAATGTGTATTGTGCTATTGCCAGATGAAATAGTCTGTAGATGTCAATTATATCCTCTTGAAAGATGGTGCTGTTGAGTTCAAGTTCAACTATGTTCTTGCTGATTTTCTGCCTTCTGGAACTGTTCATTTCTAATAGCGGGGTGTTAAAGTCTCTGGTTACAATGTTGGGTTTATCTACATCTCCTTGAGGCTCTAATGGTTTGCGACTCATGTAGTCCAACACTCTGTTGTTAGGTACCTCTACATTAACAATTATTATATTTTCTTTGAGTATTGACCTCTTTATTGTTATATAATGCCTCTCTTTATTCCTGATACTTTCATTGCTTTGAAGTCTGCTCTGTCTGAAATTATTATATAGCGACTCCAGCTTTTTTTGGATTGGTGTTAGCATGAGCTATCTTTCTCTACTCTTTTCACTTTATCTTATATATCTTTATATTTAAAATGGGTTTCTTTTGGACAGCATATAGTTGAGTCTTGTTTTGTGATCCACTCTGATAATCTTTGTCTTTTAATTGGTATATTTAGACCATTGACATTTAAAGTAATTATTGATAAAATCGAGTTAACATCTGTTATATTTGTTACTATTTTCTATTTGTTGTCCTTCGTTTTTTGTCGCTATTTTTGTCTTCTACACTTTTTCTGACTTTTGAGGCTTTAATTGAGCACTTTATACAATTTCAGTTTCTCTCCATTCTTAGCATATCAATTATACTTATTTTTTAAGAGTTTGCAACATACATTCACAATGAATCCAAGTCTACTTTTCAATAACACTATACCTCTTCACTGTTAGTGCAACTATCTTGTAATGACAAAATATTTCAAATTCCTCCCTCCTGACCCTGTAGCATTGAAGTCATTAGTTTCACTTATGCATAAGTGTGTGTGTGTGCCTTGTGTGTATGTAATCAAATACATTGTTGCTGTTATTATTTTAAACAAATTCTTGTCTGTTAACACAATTTAAAATAAGAAAAATAGAAGTTTTTATTTTAATTTCAATTGTTTATTCTCCGATGCTCTTTATGTAGAGCTGAGCTTCTGCTACATACCATTTTCCATCTCTGAAGAACTTCTTTCAACATTTCTTGCAAGGCAGGTCTACTGACACCAAAATTTCTCAAGTTTTGTTTGAGAAAGTATTTATCTCTCACTTTTAAAGGATAATTTTGCAGCATACGGAATTCTAGTGGTGGGATTTTTTTCTGTTATCACTTTCACTCTACTCTCTTCCAGTTCGTATGGTTCCTGAGGAGACATTGGATGTAATTCCTACTCTGCTGCTCTGTAAGTAAGGTGTTTCTTCCCTCTGGTTTCTTCAATAATTTTTCTAATTTTTGACTTTCAGAAGTTTGAATATATGTTGAGGTGTTGAGTTTTTTGGGCATTTTTCCTGCTTGGTGCTCTCTGACCTTCCTGGATTTATGTTTTGATGTCTGACATTAATTTGGGAAGATTCTCCATTGTTGCTCAAATGTTGCTTCCGTTCTCTTCTCTTTTCTTCTTCTGGTATTGTCATTATGCATATGTTATTTACACCTTTTGTAACTGTCTCATAGTTCTTGGACATTCCACTATGGTTTTGTTTTTTTTTTTTTTTTCTTTTAAAGTCTTTATTCTCTTTGCTTTTCAGTTTTGGAAGTTTCTGGTGTCACAGGGCGGGGAACATCACACACGGAGGCCTGACATGGGGCAGGGGGCAGTGGGAGGGATAGCATTAGGAGAAATACCTATTGTAAATGATGAGTTAATGGATGCAACAAACCACCATGGCACATGTATACCTATGTAACAAACCTGCACGTTGTGCACATGTACCCTAGAACTTAAATTTAATAATTAAAAAAAGAAAGTTTCTGGTGTCATATCCTCAAGCTCAGATATTCTTTATTCAGTCATGTCTGGTCTACTAATGAGTCCATCAAAGGTATTCTTATTTCTGTTAGAGTGTTTTTTATCTCTAGAGTTTTTTTTATTACTTCTTAGAATTCCCATCTCACTGCTTACTTTGTCTGTCTCTTTTTGAATGTTGTCTACTTTTTTCATTAAAGCCCTTAGAATATTTTAAGGGCTTAATATCGATTATAGTTTTTTTAAAATTCTGTTCTGATCATCTCAACATTCTTGCCATATATCATCTGGTTCTGACGCTTGTTTCATCTCCTCAAACTGTGCTTTTTTAAACTTTTAGTATGCCTTGTAATATTTTGTTAAATGGTGAACATAATGTACTGGGTAAAAGGAACTGTGATAAATAGCCCTTTAGTTATGTGATGGTAAGGTGTGTGGGGGGAATAAATGTTCTATCATCCTGTGATTAGGTCTCAGTCTTTTGGTATGAATTTCACTAGTGCTGCTAAGTTATTTTCCCCTCTTAGGTGGGACAGAATGCCTAGAGGTAGGGTGGATTTGGGTATTTCCCTTTCCCCACATGGAAGGCTAGAGCCAGCTTGAATTGGATATTTTTCTTTCCCCAGATTGGCTCGGTTCTTCTGAGGACAGGACTTGCTAAGAACAGAATGCCTTGGCACATATCAAAATGGCAAAATGGGTCCTTTTCCACATACTCTGATGGAAACATGGGAATATTTTTTCCTATATTTACTATGAATTTACTATGAGAACCTGGCAAATTTCCTAGAGGTAAAACTTACAAAAGTGTGGTAGCTCCCTATAACTGGATCCCCCTGGAGTTTTTAACTCTCAGACTTGTCCACACCAAGTATCCAGAAATTTGTCAATTCCAGTTCAGGTTTTCCATCTCTGGCATCGGTTCCCACTGAGGTTTCTGCTAACGGATTTCTGCTCTGCTAAATTGTGATTCTCTGTATCCACCTGTTCATCTCTCCAATTTTGGGGACAGTGGTTTGCTCTGTGATCTCGTTTCCCCGACATGTTTAACAAGTGTTGTTGACATTTCCTTGTTTTCATTCTTTTACTTGTTGTTAGGACAGAGCAGCAATTTTTAAGC